CATCAGTATTTGATGATTTACCCTGTCAAAGGCTTTGGAAAAGTCCAGGTAAATGACATCAACTCCTTTGCCTTGATCTACAGCATAAGTCTAATCGTCCAGAGCCAAAAGCAGATTGGTTGCACATAAACGATTTTGTCGAAACCCGTGCTGGACTGGGGATAGTAGGCCATTTTTCTCCAGATGATCCATTACGGAATCAGCAACAATAGATGATGATATATACTGAACAGTATTTACAGTCTAACACTATTTATATCCCGTTCTATTCTACTTATAAACACATTACTGTGTAATTCGGCAAATTGTGGATTAAGATAAAATTTGGGAATGGGCGGCGATAATCAGGCGATGTGTCATAATCATAAAGGTTAGGAGTTCATGAGTTTGAATCCCACGCAACTCGACCACTTCTGTGTGTTTCAATAGCCACAAGCTATGTTTTCTTTTCAGGTTGATTACGCCATCAGGTTTTAATGAAGGAAGTAAAATACTTTTGTCCACTCATCCACCGTGCTGAATTTCAAAGCACAGAAGATTTGGCTGAAACTATGAAACGGTGTTAAGTCCAAGGTTTGCCAGTGGGAGTAAAACGGTGACTCATTGGAATCAGTTGCACTTTTTGCGATGTGTACGGACCATCGTTCAAACTTCTCTAATAAGAGCGAAACCCGAGTCTAGTGCTTCCGAGCGCATAGCTGACTGGAATGAACTAAGGATTGGGTGTGAAGGTGAAGTCTGAAGGATGATCAGGTCAAATGAATACCAATTATCAGACACCACTACTCACAAGTAACTCAGTTAGATGCGTTTTATAGATTCGATATATATATATATATATATATATATATATATATATATATGTCCAGTCTTTCACATACTACTTATTATCAAATATATATATAGTACATGTGCTGAGGCATCATCACATCCATCCCGAGGTTGTGTTCTACTCTCAGGCCTACTCTTTCTCTCTCTCTCTGGTTCCTCACAGCCCTCTCTTCCGGGTAACTTTTGGTTGTAACATCTATCCTGAAGATTTGTCGTTTAGAAACAGACATACAAACTACATGTGCTTGAAAATGTGAATTGAATGAGAATTTACTTGTAGCCTTTTGGGTTTGTGGTAAAATTATCCGAACTTGTACCGTAGTGCTCATTTGATGGAAGGTTTTCGAACGGGTTTAACAGATGATCAGGTGTGCTTTCTTTTGTTGCTGATCGGGCTCAAGCAACAAGCAACATGTGTTGGCAATTCGGGTCAGCCCGCGGGTGAGCCGATTGGTACAGACGGGGTTCATAGCCCGGACGGGACGGTGGACATGCAGCACTATTGATGAGCTTAAAGGAGAGCGAGGGGAACTCGAATCTAGTGCTTCCAAATTGAGTGTTTGACTGAACAAACTTAGGAATATACGTGAGAGTGACTTCTGAAGAATGATTAAACTATTTGGATACCTTTCTGTTCTATGTAGAAGCAGGATTAGTTTGATTGTTTTCTCTTATTTCTTCCTAGGTTCTATTCAATGAGACGAGTATCGATCTTGTCAATGAGTATAGTGATATGATGTGTTTTACACACGTTAACAGTTCCAAGTCGAGTAAAAAAGTGTTCTTCTGTGATATATTGTAATCCGTGTGTGAAAGAACCGGACACAGGTACACTAGGTTTAGGGTGACACAAATATTCGCTCTGGGGTTCGATCAAATTTAGACTAAGATGGCAAGCTTCGTACAGCGGAAATAAAACACTCACAAGTAGGGGAAGGGTTGTCCGAACAGTTCTCAAACAGCATGTATGATATTTTAACTGAAATGTGAGCTCCAGTGCCTGCAAAAGTTATACACAATACAATACAATACGATTGGATCAATAATGTATGACACGTTTGACGCAACACTGTGAGCTTTTCTTGGGGAATCCACAATCGGAGCCTTTGGCTAACCAAAGCCTGACCCGCAAGACGGCGGGGTGGTGTATGAAAATCGCAATCCATTGTGGGCCGGTGTTCATTTCATCCGATCATACGCCCTTTGGACGAGGTCAAACGTCCGAGGTACCCAATACACCTCAATGCCCAATTGAGCCGGTGACCACCACCGCCACAACTGGGAATGTGTGTGTATGGTTGGTACACCTCTTCTCGGTTTGTTTGGAATCCGTGATTTTGTTATATGAGAGAAATTGAATTTTGTGCTTGAAATTGATATTATCTTACTTAGAGTATCGAGCTTGGATTAGCCCATTCGATTGTTCAGAGGCACCAGGCACCCTTGATGGTCTTGGTCCATTCCTGACTGGGACACAAAAGGTACGCACTGCTGACGAGTCCCAAACAGGACGAAACAGCTGTCCAGTGCTCTTTGTTGGTTATCACAAACATTTCCATTACATTTGAATGATATTATCTTACTTTATCCAGATTAGGCAGAACGGAACAAGCTAATTTCGGATATTTATTTTGTTCGTGCAAGGCGATGGGGCGGGGGGACGTGCCATCCACGTTTACTGGTGGTCGGGTACAAATCCCAGTGGGGTTCAGGGACCGTGTACCGGGGATTGGTTAAAACAACAATAACAACTACAACAGGAACAGGAACAACCACAACAAGAACAACAATCCGGTTGAAACAACTGCTCAATACCGCGAAGACGTTTCTGCAGTGATTTGCACGTTGAATGTGCTAGAGAAATATCTCCCATAAATGACAATTGATTTTCAATACGGAAGGTGGGTAAGCGTGGATCCCCATCTAGTTCACTCAGAACGTCGAGCCGCACAAAATCGTTCACGAGCAGTCCGTGGCAGACGTAGATTGGGTTTCATCTGTTCGCGTAAATCACTTGTCACATTCTGTGATTGCATTGCACGCGGTATTCTTGTGGTTGAACAAACCCCCGCTGGACCGTGTTTGTCACAGACTATAGTCCATTGAATCACCTCACGGGCCAAACAGAAACGGCCTATCCCAACCGAGGATGTAGTTATTACCCATTAAATCAATATATATATATATATATATATATATATGCAACGCGATGAAACTGTGCTCTCCTAATCCATCGAATTTGGATGAAATTGTACAGAATATGACTTGGTAATGGCGAAAATGTTGGTTTCGTTTCGTGCAACAATCGAGGATCATTGATTTGATCTCGTTGACTTAGGCATAAAGCGCCATTTACGGGTACCGATCGATATTCACAGATTCCTTCAAAACAACGGAATAAGAATGTTGATTCTGTCACTGCTGTGTTACGGTCAACCAAATAACCAATCACACGATAATGTAGACAATCCGGTTAGTTGGAGCTTTGTAAGCACATCGTATTGTATTGTGCCATATTGTATTGAACATTTAGCGGGTTATATACAAGCTTTCAGCCAAAAGTAGACAACCAGCAGGATACTGACAAGATGTGAGTAAAGGTGGGAGCGGCTTGAGTGCAAAATGTTAATTTGATTGCTAAATGCATTAGGGAAGCTCACAACAAAAACTCTGCTTGTCGGTCAGTGTCATGAATGAGATAGGGTACCAAGGAGTTTATGTAAGCAGATATCCGAGATGAAATGAGTTTGTCGTTGGAATGGGTGGAGGTGAGGGATTTGCATGCACACGGGTCAATGTGTAAAGGATCGGTGCAGTTAGATAGATAGATAGATAGATACTGGTGGAAAACTTCAAACACGCAACTATATGGGCATCGCAGATAATGTCAATCAGAACAGATAAAGGAACTTCAGAGAAAAAGTTGAACATTATGAGGTCACCCCTTGGTAACTTGAAGTCGTCCTTCAGTAAAATGGGGAAAATCACACGGGACAGCAAAGCGGTACAGGACATTGTGAAATATAAGCTCGGCTTTCTCTGAATCTGTACTTTTTCGAGAGGAAATGGAGAACGATTCGAAGTAACAATATATTCAAAGCATTTTTCGAAATTCAGATGAAGACCGGATAAAATGGATTACGTAAGGAGGTGAGATTACTTTATCTAAAATGCCACCAGTCCTTTTTGGTTAGATACAGAAACAGAGATGGCGATGTCATCAGCATACTGAAACAGGGATAAGTCAGCTACCTTGCCATTGATCGCCGGTGGTAAAGGTATGCGGTGTATTAGATGAAACTTGCAAATTCTGTTTGGCAGTCAACTTGGTGGATTCCATCCTAAAGAGACTGCCTCCAGTGCTCGAAATTGAAGAGGAGCAAATGGAACATGGACGAGATGAAAGTGCAATACCTGTATAAAGTCTATGAGTCATTTTAATAAATAAATTACAGTTAGGTTTTCTACTGTGACCTTGTTATCTTACAACTGATGCATTTGCAAAAATCGTTGAAATAGCGAAATTTTTCATTTTAATGACATGTGGCTAATAGAAGTAGTGAAACAAGTGGATATTATATCAGATATGTTGCATCTGATGTGGGGCAATATAATAATCAATTCCGTGAATGAGATTGGAAGAATAAAGCATTGAGAGGAACAAATGTAATAAAAATCAGGATGTTGCACGAGTTTGGTCAATACCTGTATGTTGTACATGGTTGGTAATAGGTAAGTCACTGATATAAATAGGAAAAAGATAGGGTGATAAGAGAGCACCTTGAAGTCTACCCGAACTATTAAGGGACGTCGTTGAATGTTTTCTTCATAATCTAGCACACTCATATCTTTGCGACAAGTAATCAGAAAGCCATTCCGGAAGAGAAGTGGGATAACCAAACGATTGGAACTTGTTAAATAAAAGAGAACGAGGCACCGAGTTAAAAGTGGAAGAACAATCAAAAAATGCACAGGGTACATATTTGACCTTCGCGTTAAGGGAATTACAGATAAAGTATACTAGGGAAGAAACAGCCATCAATGTAAAGCGGTTATGTTTCTATGCAAACTGATAAGAATCATCGGGTAAGGTGGTAAGGGATAACTGAAGGTGATATAGAACTGACCGCTCCGATAATTTCAAACCAGTGGAAGCAAGAGCGATTGGGGGTCTGTCTAGATTCTGGTGGGAAAACGAAATTGTCAAATCACATGCACTGCGCAAAGTTCGAACTGTTGTTGTTCAGTCTCAGAAGATATACTCGTTTCATATTCTCATCAGATAGCCTCAGTAAGCCACAATAATTAAGCATCTCCAGTTCTGTCCTCCGTTTCACCATGAGGGAGATACGCAAAGCGCACTGGACTGGCTACCAAACTCAACAGCTCCTTACCGTATACGCTTTGCACATGTTATGTGCATTTTTTGCTACAAGACTAACCCTGCTGTATACTTGACTGACCGGAACTGATTCACGTGGGTTGTTTGAATCACTGTGGCGGGTACCTGATAAATGACGGTAGTGCAATAGCAAAGTTAAATGGAGGAGAGTCTACGATAGACTGGAACAACACTGGCCTCGTAATGACACATGTGACGGAAATTGAAAGGTACGACCAGTTCTGGGTTACTATGGTGAGACCTGACGCTTTCTCGTATGAAGGACATTCACCTCTGGAGGTTTCTTTGACCGTTGAGGAGAAGGCAGATTAAAGCAAATCGGATAAAGTGAGTGGGTTTGCAATATTGAGGCACAGTAAATTCGAATAAGTGTGCTTCGCCGATTCGGGTAAGTATTTCTTACACCTAACAGTCGACTACAAAACCACTTCATTAATTACTTCAGGGTAGAGGTCACGATCAGAAGATTGCACGGAAACAGAGTGTAACTAAATGCAGCGAAAAATCAGAACGAATGGTGTTTTTTTATTTCAAGATGGTGTCTGAATGTTCCTTTTTACCAACAATAACAACAACAACAACAACAGAGATGTTCTCCTTTTTGGTCGGAACAGAATATGCGTGAAGCGGTGGGTATGCACAGTGGGACTGTGTTCTCTGTGTGTAAACCACAGAGATTCACTCACTCTTTGTTCACCTCAAAGAAGGTTGGTTCACTTCCTAGCCATCTTATACGTTAATCTTGACTTTGCACTCACTGAGAGCGGAGCAGCGGTCATAGAAGTTCATCTAACTGTGCGAAGAAGGTCATGATGATGATATCAGAACTGCAGACAAATAGTCGAGAAACACATGTCCAGTTTATAAATCCTGTCTCAGCATCAGAGAAAAAAGTAGTACTTGCAGCCATTTCGGACACAGCTAAAACAGCGCACAAATGGTCTAAGTCAGCCTATCTCCAAAACAAAAAATGTTGCGGTTTTCTTAGAAAAAATTTTGCAGTGATTTGGTCAACTGAATAGTGTATGATTTAAGAGATATAAGGTAAAAAACCTCAGTTTAGTCGAGGGTAGGTGTCTAGGAATGCGGCTGATCACTCTTCCCTTGCACCTCGCGAAATGCTCATATACGACCAAGCTTCTCGAATAGCCTCTGCTGAGTAAGCCCTACTCACTGCCTTCTCGTGAAGGTGTTTCCCACCAAAGTGAGGGGACAGAAATCCAATATCCGGGGCTATAACCGGGTTGGTGAACCACTGGTTGTTCACTCAGGGGAGTTGGCCCAAACCCTGATTCCAAACCAACCAAGAGGAGGCGTACGAACCATACATACAACTTTCTGGTTGTGGCAATGGTCACCGGCTCAATTGGGCATCCAGGTGTATTGGGTAATTTGGACGT